ATTCATTATAAAAACAAAATTAGATATTTTGTCATTTCAGTGCCGATGTTACGATAATTAATGAGAGATACAGCTTTCAAATTTTCTTCAACGGTAAACGTTTTACGACATTTGCGCATCGTGGCTCACCAGATGATGTCAGAACGTTGGAGATTGATGGTGAATGTGAAGTATTTTCTGTCACAGTTAATAATGCAGTTGGTGTATAAAGTTTTGCTTTCAGTTATCAGTCAATCATTTTGCGCCCTCTTAAGAAAATTACATTGTGATCTTTGAATTTTAAACTCTAACAAGTGCTTATTCATTTATTTGAAGTAACAGTTTTGATGTATCGATGATTTTTCCTTTCTTTTTTTTTTGGATTTGTTTATCTCATATTCTACCAATTTAAATAATTTTCTTCCTTGATTTTTTTTTTTTAAATAATTTATCAAATATTTTAAGAGCCAAAATTCTGTTCCACAAGATTTATTAATGGAAAATTCATCCATTTCATTGAAGTATTTAAAAGTAGAAAAAGCTAATATAATACATTCAGCTAACATAATTTAAACTGAAAAATTCTATTTTCAGAAAACTAATTATCTTACATCTTTTTTTTACTTTATAAATAAATATCTTCAAATCTGGACAAATCTCACATGCAAATTTCATATACTTTCTTCTTGTAAAAAAGACACAATGTTTATGCTTAGCAGGTAAAAAAAAATGGTTATATGCACCAAAATATAAAACTGTAAAATAATAAAACTTTTTAAGTACTAGTAGAAGTGAAGATGATATGGTTTTAATTAAGATTTGGCAATATATGATCATAAAATACATTTAAATGAGGAAATATATCATTTTTTCAAAAAAAGAAAAGAAAAAAATTGAAAAATTCCTCATTTTTATTCCTGAAATGTAAATAAAATAGGTCTAAAAGTTAATAAAATAAGTATAAAACTTTTTAGCAAAACTTTTTAAAATTTTTGATTTATTGAAATTTTTTTTTGAATTGATTGCAAAAGAAAGGAATAATAGCTGTGGAAGCTTAAAGAGAGAATAATTATATCAATAATTAAGAAGAAACTATCCGATTACTATTTTCATTTGGTTGAAAATAACTAAAAAGATGGAAACATTTTTTCTCTCCTTTTTCTCCTACTAATTTCGTAATGGTGATCAAAAGAAAAGAAAAAAATTTGGAGCTAACTTTTCAGTTAAAGATAAACAAAGCATTTATTTAAAAAACAAAAAAAAAAACAAAAAGGGAAATTTTAAAGAAGAAGCAGAAAAAAACAAAACACTTAAAAAATAAAAGTACAAAAAAAGTGCAAAAAAGAAATTTTTTTTTGTACAAAACTTTAAACATTGAAAAAATTTAATTGAAAAATTCTAAACAAAAAAAATTTTTTTTTTCAAAGTATTTCAAAACTTAATTTAATAATCATCAATTTGTTCATACTGATTCAAAAATTAAAAAAAGAAAACAATTGTTGAAAAAATTATTATTGATTTGCATCTAATAATAGATCTTTAACTATCGGGCACTATATGTTAAATAATTTGCGCATTCCTTACCTGCCCTTATATAGCATTGATTTTTCATTAATATGCTTAAATGATCTGACTTAACATACATTCCACATTCATGAAAAAATTCAACATAAAATTTAAACCCCCTTCCCCCCTCTCCCCTCCCCCCCATCCACTATCTGATCGTTCCAATCTTTGAGTGTTCCATGCTTACTAAGCATTAAATTAAAATAAAATAAAATCGGCATACATTTTAGGGCAGTGGAAATTTGACAAATATAGGAAAGAAAAAAAAAATACAATACTACTACAGTGTTGATAAAATTAAATGGAATGTACAAAAAAGAAATTTAGTAAATGGGGTAGATAGTATGGTACAAATACTACAAAAGTTACAAATTACCACCTGATAGTTTGAATTGTGAGCAATAAGAAGAGTACAACTAATGTAAATCCATAGGAAGACTTCCATCGCCTCGGACTACTATTTTCTCTCACTGCAAATATACAAAAGCTAAAAATTTCAAAAATTTTAACTACACTTATCGTTTAACTACATATTTTAAAATGTTGAAAATTATTCTGTAGTTTTTTGATATCCTTTTTTTTATCAAATAATTTTGTCTGTTTTTTTTTTTCAAATCAAATTTAGATAGTTTTATCCTAATTTTTTTCTCAAAAATTAATCATAATTGGACTAATTTTTTCTAATATAACGATGCCTATTAAAATTTTCGAAAAATAATTCACTTACAATAATCAGCGAATTCTAAATCTTTTACATTTCTCCACAATTCACATTCTTCTTTTTTCCGTCTCTCAATGGATGAATCATTTTGCATATCAGCACGTAAATACATCCATTTTTCCGTTTTACGATATTCTGGCCAAAGAGTATGAATTTGTTCGTCGAAATCCGGCTTCCTATAGTGAAATTTTAAGTAATTCTTAAATATTAGCAAGTAAGATGTCATTTGAAACAATATACTTAAAACACTTAATTGTAGAATTAATCTTACTCAATTATAATAGATTACTTCAAATATGCATTATATATATATATATATGTAATGTTAGGATGATAATATATTTGACCTTTTGTTTCTTGTTTTTTTTTTTTTTTGCACAAAAAGATATGCAAAAATTCAAAATCAAACCCATAGTTAGCAAAATTGCTCCAATATTTCATTATTTTTCCACTGAAAATACGTTCCTGTTTGGTATAGGTAGCAGTTCTATTATAGACCGGTACACCGAATACATATTCAATTTCATAGCCATGCATTACACCTGCCCATTCAGGCCACGGATTAGCACTACAATTTTAATTTATCATTATCATTTATTCTATCATTCTTTAAATGCCTCATTTATTTTTATCCAGTAAATCATAACAAATCTAAAATAATAATAATGATGATGATTTGATTTCATGGAAAAGTTCGTGATAAAAAAAAATATTTATCAATGATAAAAATAAATACTATTCCTAATCGATGATAAAAGTATCACTTTGCATACATTTAATGTTTTTATCACTTCCATAAAAAAATGTCAGTGATTCTCATACATTTAAATGATAATTTAATGAAATATTTAACAGTGTTAATTAAAAAATGATGATTTAATGAAATATTTGATAGTGAAATGATGAAATGTTAATTGTTAGTTTACCTGGACCGTTGATCAAAATAATAGACGTAAATTTTACCGCTTCCTTTTTTCATATGTTCAGCAAACCATATACTATCACATGTAAAAAAATAATCACCGACCATATGATTAATCTGAAAATTAATTTATAAAAATTACGAATATTTCATAACAGTATGAATTTCTCTATGGTAAATTCAATCTTTATCATCAACAATTTGAGCATATAAAATGGACGGTTTTTTTTTCCCCATAAATGAATTTTCCTTTCAAAATCATTATGCAAAATGATTGGACGAAAAAGGATAAATTGAAGTTCAGATAAAAGTTTGCCAATTTATTTACATTTTACAAATTTTATTACAAAAATAGATTTAATCCTAGAAATAAAAAAAAAATTCCCAATCAATGAATTTAAATTATCTCTTAAAAAAACTATACTCACATTTAAATATTACGAATAGAATATTTACAATAGCAAAAGTATAGCTTTTGAGTTCATTTCTGTTAAATATTTAGAACAACTGCCAATCTTTTTTGCACCATTTAACTTCACAAATAATCGACAAATACATACTACTTTGATAGTTCAAATAAAATCAACTTGAACTTTAACCTGCTCAGCATAAAATTTATTTTTTTGAATGCTATTCTTGCATTTTCGATCCATGTAAGTGAAAGTAGCTGCTTGACGAATCAGTTTTGATTGTGTTTTAAATGCAATATTGATACAATCCAAGAAATTATCTTGATTTAGTAACGGTTGTTCTGGCTTGTCAAAATATTGCGGAAGATAGTAAATATTCCAATAATTACCTCAAATGATAATTTTCTACTGTAAATCAAATTTCATAAATTTAAATAAATTATACTATTACAGAGCAAAAGTTTGCATGAATTCCCTATAAATTTTGCAAATACATACTAAATATTTTGTGAGCTAAAATTACAAAAATCCTTGTAGCTATTTAAAATATTAGAAAATTTAAAAATCATTTATTTTCTTTCTTTTTTTTTCTCCTTTTTTTTTTGCATTCTTCCATTAACAACATCTTATGATATGTTAAGTTACAATTTTCAGTATCGGAAATACAATCCTTTCTAGAATTATCAGAAAGCTTTTTTTTAAACAAATAAAATGCTCAAATTTCATCATCCGACCGATACCTTCATCATGATTAATACCAATCATTAAATCAACATCCATATTATGATTGCCATTTCGTAGCGCTTTATATGCATCATATTCTTGGAAAAAATTACGATCCTTCGAAACAATTACAAATGGAAATTCTAGAAATTCCAAATTGTTCCACATACCATCGATTAATTTTTCAGCTGGTATTGATTTTAGACATTTAATAGTATCCATCATCTGAATGATTTAAAGTACATTTAATTCCATTTTAAAAGTATACTTAATTCCACTGTAATTTAGGAATTTATACAACTCAAATTGTGGGAAACATTTTGAATTTTGATTTCATTAACAGTTGCAAGCAAAATAATCAATTCAAAATTTTATTTTAATTTTAAGTCACAAAAAATGTTATTTTTCTCTTTTTATATGGTTCATTTTTTTTTTACAAACGTTTTATTTGAAAATATTTGAAAGCGCAATTATAGCATAAGTATATAATAAAGTTTTGATTCTATATGGTTTCTGATTACATTCCCATTTGCTTGTTTACGGTTACTAGATTTATTTAACTCAATTTCAAAATTTGTTTTTTTTTTTTTGCCATCGTAATTCTCGTCCATTTTGTGAAGGTGTAACTTAATACATCAGCTACCATCAATTTGTTTATTCAATTCTTCTACAGTTGTGATTTTTTCATCAATCAACCATTAATTGATAAATTGCTCAATTAATAGAATATAGTCCGAAAATTTTTTCTTTGAAATATTAAATTTATGTAAATGGTCTTAAACTTTGATGAACTTTACCTTTTCCATTTTGCAACCATGATATTTGGCCAGTGCAAGGCTTTTCCTCATAGCATGTTGAGGTGACTCCAATGACCATTTGTTGTCTAAACTACCGGACTGCAGGATGCCTCGCTTAAAGAGACCGTGACTTCCCGGAGCAATCAGATGTGCAACAATTGATGCCGCACCAGCTGATTCGCCAAATAATGTAACTTGAGAGGGATTTCCACCGAAGGCAATGATATTTTCTTGGATCCAACGAAGTGCTAATTGCTGAAAATATTGCCTTTTTAATGAATCTAAAATTTATGTTATTAAAAAATTTGACATATTTTCAAATTTAATCAAAAAAAAAAAGAAAACGTTTAGAATTTATAATTTTTCAATTTCCAAAAAAAAAAAAAAAATTCGTATTTTCCGATCAGAAATCATGTAAAATTCACAACAAAATATTTTAAATGAATTGTAACAGAAAAAATAAGCGACAAATTTAAATGCAAGAATTCAAAATTATTATTAAACCTGATCTAACATTCCCATATTTCCCGGAACATCATGATGATTCAAATACAGGTATCCAAATGGTCCAAGACGATAATTAATGTTTACAACAACAACATTGCTTATAGCTGCCATAGCTTTTCCATCATATAAAATTAAAGATGGACTACCTGAATAATAGCCACCACCAAATAACCAAACCATTGTCGTTAAATTGCTAGAAAAAAAATGTGAGATAAATTGAATTAATTTCTCATTTTAAAAAAAAAAAATTTTTTTCCAAATATTGGTAAAGAAATAAGACCTAAAAATTTTTAAATCAATTAATCAATCAATACTTTTTGATAGTTTTGAAATTTATACAATGATAGAAAAATCTTGGAATCTTGGAAAAAAAGAGAGAAAGATAGAGGGAAAGAAAAAAAGTTTATAGCAGTTTTGTAGCAAACAAAAGATAAATTAATAACAGATTGTTAATAACTGAAATTAAATATAAAAGATTTACAAGCCATCGGCTGGTGCCCAAATATTCAACCGCAAGCAATCTTCTTGAACTGCTGTATTAGCATTCCACATTTCGGAACCCCAAAACGTTTCATTGTATGTATCCCGACCCTGCAAACATTTTATTGAACTATTTACTATTTTACAATTAATTATTCTAAAACTTAAATATTTCAAATTTCTACAAAAATTGCAAAAAAAAAAAATTATTTTAATTTGTATTAAATAAAGCAAATAAATCAAAAATGAAAAGACAAAAAAGAAGGAAAAAATTCTCACAACTTCGAATGGGATGAAATTCACATATCTTTTCAAAATTTATTGAAAGCTAAGAAAATTTTAATTTTAATAGCTGACTGTCTACAATTCCATACTTTTAACTAATAGGAGTTTAATTAGTAAAATGATTTAAATCAGATATAAATTTTTCCATTTTTTTTTTCAGGAAGCTAATAAATTGATGTGTTGAAAAAACAGGAGAATATGGGAAATATATAATGAATTAATCATAAGAAAATGATAAAAATTAGAAGCAAAAAGAAAAATGAGAAATATAGACGTTTAAAAAGAATTGAATGAATTAGATTGGGGGAAAGGATGTAAATAAATTACTTAATTTCTGAAATAAATGATTTAATTACATGATCATTTTATTTCAGAAGAAGAGTCAAATCACCTGATAGCATGCAGGTGAAGGAATGGTAGCATCAATGGTATCTTTCCATGGTTGTTTCGGTATTGGTGCTCGAAAACGATTATCACCAACGGGTGGTTCTGCGAATGGAACGCTAAGAAATGATCGAACACGCTTGCCAAGTATGGAAGATTCATAACCACGTATCATACCATCACGTATTTGTAACTCCACCATTGATTTCTTTGGCTCACCAAAATTTGCACTAATTTCCTGAAATTTTGAAATATTAAAAATGAGTAATAATTCTAATGAACTCTTCATAATTAACATGAACAATAAGAATTAATTTCAATTCTTTTTTTGTTTATCTTATTTAAATATAATGGTATCATAATTTGCGACGCGAAAAAAAAAGCAATAATTAAATAAATTTACTCCTTTGTTCTTTGCCGTTTTTTTTTTTTTTGGAAAAACAAAGATTCAAAAATATAAGTAAATAAATAATAAAAAATTCATTTCATTCATTCTTTCCTTCAAGAGCCAAATTCATACCATTTTATATACAAGTAATTGAAATAGAAATTTTTTTTAACACTTTAATTTGATTTTTCAATGATTGCCACTTACTTGAAATAATAGTAATACTGTAAAGCTGAAATGGGTCAGCAAGTTTATCATTGTATGCGTCACTTTTTTTTTTCAATCCACCATATTTTTTCTGTTATCGAAATCTGCTATAAATTTAAATGTCACAGTAATTTTTTGTCATTTTTTTCATGATTATATACTATATTGACATGATCAAACGAATAGTAATCACGTAATGTATATTTTTTACTTTATACGAAAGTAAAGATAAAATAAGAGCAATAAACTAGCAAACATTTTTAAAAGCTTCCAAGTTGAAAAGTAACCATTGTAAGATGTGAAAGTAATTCATCAATCATTTACATCATTCTGACAATATCCGATTTTTCCTTTCTCTCTCTCTCTCTTACTCTCTCTCTCTCTCTCTCTCTCTCTCTTTCATTTTCAACAAGAGGATTTGCTATCATCGTGAATGCAAATTCAACCAGATATTAACATTTGATAGTTGATTGTTTTGTTAGCAGCTAAAATTATAGATAATTTCGAACTATTTGCATTTCTATCAAAAGAATGTGATCAACTAACATCAGAAGATCTTAGCTTATTAAGGAGAGAGCTAATTAAACAAGCACAATCAAAAGTTTTGATGAAGCAGATTATTATTGAAAATTGAAAGACCGATTGAAAAATTCAGCGCTATACGAAGTTAATTCAAATCTAATTTATCTTCCAAGACATAATCCTGTAACTAAAGTTATCATACAACGATAGCACGAGGAACTGTAATTATTCATACATCCATAAAATTGAGAACAGAATTGTGATACTTAAAGATCGAATCGAATAGCTAAGCGAGTACTGAACAAATATATGTTCTATAAAAACGAAAAAACCATTTAAGCTATTGATTTACTCTAAATTTTCCAGAAACTCGAGTCAACCGATTCCGAACAATCGATTGTGTTGGACCGAATTATCTAGGCTTTTTTTTTTTACTAAGACTGAAAAGATGGGTAAGCCTGTTCAAACGTTTCACAACAAGAGCGGTGAACTTAAAACTGGTAGAAAATTGAAAGCTCGACGAAGTTATCCTAAATTAGTCTTGAATGATAATACTAATCAATTCTAATTAGTTTTCAAGATCATTATGAAATAAAATACACAATTGATAGATTTCCTGACAAATAAGGCAGTGATCTGGAATGAAATGGACGAGTTTATCAGAAACCAAACAGAGCTATTAGCAGGAAACCATTATGAAAGATACCTCTAATAGTAGGAATTAATAACTCTAATAGTAGAAGTAGAAGGTATACTGGATACCTGCCCATTAATTTACGTAAATTTTGATCACGTAAACACATAATCATACGCCTGGCTTTTCTAGTTACCTCGATTGCTAACGATAAATGATCAAAAAGAATTTATTCTCTGCAAATTACAAATTGAAAACTTACGTACTACATGCTAAATACAAAGGAAACACTTAATCAATGTTTTGGATACATTTTGAGAAATGTGAAGTTAATAAACATTTAATCATTCTCAGAAAACAAACTCAAAAGGAAGACAATTCCTCGAGAAATGTAGAAACGAGAACATCTCTGAGGAAGAAATTGTCTTAATCAATAAATTGAAAATTCCCCGTTGGTATATGAAAGTTGAATCAAAACAAAAAAAAAAAAGAAATTAAAAGAGAAAAAGATGGAGAAGTAAAAAGTGTCATAATAGTAGAATTGCTATAAACCAGTTAATGCTTTTAGCGATGAAGAAAATTTTAAAACATTCGACGAAACAGTTCAAGAAATCAATGATCAAGGAGTTACCCATAATTAAGAGAAATTTATTTTATTGCTTACGTGATCTCACCAACTTTATTCTCCTGAACTATGACCCAATTAAATTCCTACCAATTTCTTATTAAAATTTTCAAATGATTATTTCAATCATCAATAATGAAGAAGAAATTTTCCACTTTAATAGTATCACCAATGATCCATAAAGAACAAATTTTTATGATAATAATTGTCCATGAAATAGCAAATTATTCAATCGAAAACTCTATTAGCTTTTTAAAAAATTGCACTTAAATTGGAGTATTTTTTAATTTAAATCAGCAATCAATAAGCGAAAAAGAAACTTATTTTAGCGAAAAAAGAAACTTATCAGTTACTTTTGTTATAAAAAAATGACTGCATTATATTGAATGAAACAAAGAAGACGGAGTAAATTTTCTTTTCAAAAAAAAAAAGAAGAAAAAAAGTGACATTCTTATGCGTAAATTAGGCAGGAGATTTTAAAGAGGCTCCAAATTTTCATCTTTATTGAAATTTGTTTTTAAAAAATGGTGATTAAAATGTGACCTTAATTGCCTGAAAGAAAAATATGCAATTTCATGCATCGATTGAAATGAAATTGAATTATTCACAAATAAATTTGATATGGTAGCACCAAATTCCCGAATTGAAAATAATGAAAAAAAAATTTGTTAGCTGTGTAAGAAAACAAAAAAGTAAATTGATTTAGTGAAATGATAGCAAAATTTTTTGATAAATATTCGACATCATCAAAGAACAAAAAAAAAAAATGTTTAATTAAAAAATGAACTTTTTTTTCTTTATAAATAAAATTTCATATCTTTCATCTGCAAAAATGAAATAAATTAGTATTTTGATTTCAATTCAAATTAAATATTCGATAAGGGAAAAAGCTTAGCTAGAAGTGTAACATTTTAAATCATTATCAAATTTGCAATCAATTTAATCGAATTGATCAGAATTTCTGTAACGTGCGAAGGTTATAAAAAATATAATTCCCTTTTAGCAATATAAAAGAGTACAAAAAAAAAAGGATGATTTTGAAAGTATATAACTTTCCGGTGGTAAGAAAAGGAAAGATTCAAAGAACTTTATCAATCATCTGGAAAGAGCCAATATTTTCGAGAATTGGATAATAATTATTCCAGTTGACGATGAAGGATGGATAAATGGATATGCGAGCACATCATTTAACCATATCGCAATATGATTGCTCCATTTTTCTTTCTTTTTTTAGTTTCTTCCGAAAATAAATATTTTTTTCAGAGCAATAATTTTATACCCAAAATAAATTCGCTGCAATATTTTACTAAAAAAAAAAATGTTCGAAATTCTTAATTTTCCCAATTTACGCAATGCAATTGAATTTGGAACTCGGTACAATTAGATTGTGCTTAATTAGCTTAATTTCGTTGATTTACTTTAAATTTAAATGAAATTATACTAATGCAACTTGAAAAAAGTGGCTTAATTGGATTTGAAAATTTTTAATTCAATTTAATTTCTGTTTTTGATAGCAACCAATTAGAAATTATAAAAAGAAATCAATTTTTTATGTTAAAAAATAATGATGTAAATGTAAAGAAGAAGGAATGATTTTGAAAGGGAAAAGAATGGAATTTTAATTGAATATAATTAAAATGTAATACTCTTCATTTGTTTAATTTCGAAACAATGAAAATTTTATTTAAAAACAACTTGACAGGTCACTTACGGAAATGATACTAATTGATTGTTCCTGATGCTAATAAAAACTAGTTATCGTAACATTGATCGTTTCAGGGCTTAATGATAAGCTTGGAATAAACAAAAGTGTTTATAAATAACAAATGTGAGAATTAAAAAAAAAAATCATTCCCAGTCTTTTAGTAACTAAGCGAAATAATGATTAATTAATTAATTATAATGTTTGATGTTCCATGTTCAATTACTCATGTACATAATTTACATATTATATTCTATTGCTATGAATTTAAAATTGAAAAATAAAGAGAAGAAAATACTTGTGAAATTAGAAATATAAATTTTAAGAATTTAGTGAAGAAAAAAACACAACACGTAAAAGCTACAAAAAACGAAAAATAAAAAACCTAATGATAAATGAAATTGTCATTTTTTTTAGATAAAAAAGGATGAAAGGAGAAAAGAAGGGTGACAAATACCTCTCCATGCTTCTTCCACTATTACTATAATAAATTTATTAAAGGGAGAGTGAGAGAGAAAGATTAAGTTAAAGAACAATGGGATACTATAATGAGTTAAATTAACAAATCATTATTAATCTCTTGATAATCCAACAGAACTTTAACCGAAAATTTCACTCTTTTTAAGGCTCTTCCTTCCAATGAACTATTATTGATGACAGCAGACGCATTTCAAAGTGACATTTCTTTTTTTTGTTTTTTTTGCAGATAAACACTAAACAGTTAGTTTAAACTAACGATTATTAAATTAACTACTAATTATTAATGTTAATTATGGCATTAAAAAATGTGAGTGGTAGTAGAAGAAAGATGAGGAAGAAAATTTCAGATATTTAAAATTATTGAGCTGAAAAAAAAGAAGTAATCCACTATAATTTATTTTCAAGGAAAAAAAAATTTCAGAAAATAAAATGAATATCGTCGTCAATTCTGTAAGCAAAAAATGAACTGACAATTGAAGCATAATTTACTTCTTTGCTGGTTCTAACCTATACAGGCTCATTTAAAGCTTCAGAATGATGGCAAATTTACTGCTGGAATGGCAAAAATAAATACATAGATTGAAAACGTTAACGGAAGCACGGCTATATACATAAGCTAAAAAAAATTTCTTCATTTTGAAATT